CGGCTCCGACACCTCGGTAATGCCGGCTCGGAATAATCTCGGTGGCCAGCGCGCTTAAAAGGGAGACAAGCCGGTTAACAGGAAACGTTGTGGGGATGAGGCCGCTCACGGTGCGCGGGAAGCCGGGCAAGGAGCTCGGAGCTAAAGCGCCGGATTAGCCGGTCACGCCGGGACTCCGCCGCGTGCTGGTCTCTTCAGTGGTGGCCACCGACAGAACTAGAGGTCATGGCCACAAACTGAAGCACCAAAAGTTCCACAGGAACTTAAGGAAAAATTCCTTCCCAGTGAGCGTGCCAGAGCCCTGGAACAGGCTGCCCAGAGAGGTTGTGGAGTCTCCTTCTCTGGAGATCTTCAAACCCGCTTGGACGCAGCCCTGTGCCACGTGCTCTAGGTGACCCTGCGTGTGCAGGGGTTGGACTAGATGATCCCTAAGGTCCCTTCCAACCTTAAGGATTCTGTGATTCCATGATCCGCACGATCGAGCCCTTGAGCTCCGGAGCGCTCGGCGCCCGCGGGAGGCTCCCGGTTTCTGCTGCACAAACCTGTTTTGTCGGCACGCGGAAGAACCAACCTGCATCGCTGCTCCCAGGTGTCCAGGCGGAAAAACACACGGAGGAGCAAAGCAGAGGCCGTCACATCCGTTTATTGGCTTCAGCGCGCAGGGGAAAAGGGAGAAAAACCAAAGTACAAAGAAATAGAAACCCAAATGCAAAAATATCCCAACGGGAGCAATTCCCAGGGGTCTCGCGCGGGTCGGATGGCGGCCCGGGCACCTCCGGCTGCTCCCGCAAGCCGGCGGCGCGATTCCCGAAGCCGTTCGGGAGGGGGAAGCACGGGAAGCCCTTTGGGAAAAGCTTTGTATCTAAAGAAAAAAAGATTATTATTACAAAAAAAAAATCACTCCGAAAACTATTTTCCAAAAGCAGGAAAACGCAAATTCTTAAGCATTCGGCACCAAGCAGCTCCAAAACACATGGGATTTCACATCTTGGAATGTTTCCCCCCATTATGAGCTAAAAGCCGCGAGTTTCCACTCCATATCCCGTTCCCAACTAAAGGAAACCAGGATCTGCTCAGGGATCTGCTCAGGAGCGGCGACTCCTCCACCTCGGGGCTCGCGGCCCCGCAGGGAATTTCGCTGCCGTCGCCGCGACCGTCGTCAGTGGCCGCCGGGCGCCTTTCCAAGCGCTCCGGGCCCGAGGCGCCTCCGGAGCGAGGGCGACGCTCCGGGATTCATGGATTCCTGCCGGGCAGGCACGCGGAGCCGCTTCCTTCTGCCCCGCTGGGGGAAAACAGAGGGATGAGCCCGGCGGGCGCTTCCCGCCCTCTCCCGACACGTCCCCGCAAACATCCGTGGAATCAGACGACCAAAGTCAACGTGGGACGGCGGCTTCAACCCGGAGCCGACGTGTTCTGCAGCCCTATGTATTGGCAGCGTTCCCAAATCCCGGCCCTGGGGGCTGCTCCGCAGGATCCCAGCGCAGGGCCGCTGATCCCTACGTTCAGTTTGTGCAAAACTGTCCGAGCGCGGGGCCGGGAGAAGGGATTCCCGCCAGGAACGGAGGGAAAGGGCACTTGTTGAGCAGGAAAGGCTCCATCGTTGCCAGAGGGAACGGCCATCCGCCGATATTCCGGGGCCTGGATCCCGCATTTCGGAGCAGGGGCGCGAGCAACAACCCTGGCAGCTCCGCTCGCCCCTTGCAGCATCAGCTTCCGACCGGTATTCCTGGTGCCAACGCAGCAGCGCGCCGGGAATTGTCGAGGAAAAGCCCGACCCCCAAGATGCAGCTTTGGAAGCTCAAGCCGCATCCCAAGGGCTGCGGATGGCTCCAGCGCATCCGAGAGAACCCGGCTGTTGTCCTCATCCCAGCGGGGAAGAACAGAAAACAGAGCAAAAAATTCCCACCCGGAGTCCTCAGCAGGCAATTCCCAAGCTAGTGCAATTGGTCACGCTACGAACTCCCCGCGTCCGGATCCGGGGGCCGGAGGAGACGGCGTCGGGGTCGCAGGGTACGAGGACACTCTGCACCCTAAGAGCAGGGTCCGATGGCTCATTGCGCAGCAGACATCCCCCCCTACAAAAAAGAGGGACATCAGT